TTGTTGTTGTTATGTGCCATTGACTCACCTGCGAATCACAGCAACCCTATGTATAACAGTCCTAAACCTTGCTCTATCCCTTGCCAGTCATATTGTCTCTGACACACCTACCTCTATTAACCCAGTGACTGAATCAATCCATCAAGGTCTTCTTCTCCACTGTCCCTCCACCCTCCCAAGCATGATGTCTCTCTCCAAGAAATTGTCCCACCTTGGAACATGGCCAAAGTATGTCAGATGAAGCTTCAGATTCCTTGCTTCCAAGGAGCAGCCTGGCTTCCCCCTCTCTAGGACAAACTTGTTTGTTCTCATAGCAGTCCATGGTATATTCAAAACTCTTCTTCAGCACCACAGCTCTAAGGCATCAACTCTCCTTCTATAGCTCCTAGTCATTGCCCAGCTCTCTAGTGCATAAAAAGTAATTGCAAAGACCATAGCCTGTACCAGGCGCACCTTAGTCTCTAGACTTACTCTTTTGCTCTTCAGTACTTTGAAGAGGTCTCTGACAGTAGACTTTCCCAAAGCAACCAGTCTTTTCATTTCCTGGCCGCTGGTCCAGTGATTGCACAGCCAAACAAGTTCAGGATGCAGCCAATCTGACCAGTGGTGAGAAACTTTGTTTTCTTAATGTTGAACTTCAATCCACATTGAAGGTGCAGTCCTTGACCTTCTGTAGCAAGCGCTTCAGGTCCTCTTAAGTTTCGGAAAACAGAGTTGTATCATCTGCATAATGCAGATTGTTGATATTGTTGATATATGAATGTTAACCATAGTTTGTGATATTCTGTAGTTAAAGGCCTTTGTATAATTAATGAAGGAGAAAAAGACATTGTTCTCATATTCACTTTCAGTCAGGATCTATCTGATATCAGCAATGATATCACTGGTACCACAGACTCTTGTAAATCCTACTTGAACTTTTGGAAAATCTTTGTCTATGTACTGTTCTGGCCATTTTTGAGTGATCTTCAGCAGTAGTTTGCCTGCATGTGATATTAATGATATTGCTTGATAATTTATACATTCTGTTTGACCCACTTTCTTGGAAATGGGAACAAACATATATTTATTTAGCCATGCAGCTATCTTCCTAATTTCCTTGCATAGATTGGTGAGCAAGTCCAGGGCTATATCTGTTACTTGAAACACATCAATTTGTATCTCATCAATTGCTGGGGCCTTGATTTCTCTTTTTCTGACCTTCCACCTTTCCAAGAATGATATCCTTTTCCAAGGAATATCCTCTCCTAATGTTGTTATGTACCACTGAGTCACCTGCGACTCATAGTGACCCTATGTACAACAGCCCTGAAGCCTGCTCTATCTTGAGCCAGTTTCACTGACTCTGACATGTCCAAAACATGTGAGACAAAGTTATACTATCCTTACCTCCGAGGAGCACTCTGAACCTTCTCTAAGATATATCTGGGGGTTTTTTTGGAAGTCCATGAAATATTCAGTATTCTTCTTCAAGTATGCATCTTGGAGCTCTGGTACTGGTAGTGTAAAGGTAAGGAGCTTCATTGTCAACCCAAAGTAATTTGGTTCAATTCTACCAGCTGTTCTTGGAGAGAAAGATGGAAAATACCTTCTTGTGAAATTTACAAGCTCTGAAAAACGCACTGAGGGTTCAACTATGAGTCAGTTTTGACTTGATAGTACTGAACAACAACTTCTCCAAGATTACAACTCAAAGGCATCAATTCCCCACCCCACCCCCGTGTCATCCTTATTCATTGGCCGTGGCTCTTATTTGAGATGTTTACTTGAATGAGACATATCATTGTTGATGACAAATGAATCTCAATTAACATGAGAGAATACCAGAAAGATATTTATGTTTTATTGACTATACAAAGGTGTTTGTCTATGTATATTATGAGTATTTATGGATATTGTTGAAAAGAATGGGAATTCTGGTACAATTAATTTTGTTTATGAGAAACCTATACAAAGACCAAGGAGCAATTTCTGAACAGAACAAGAAAACACTGCATAGATTAAAATCAGGCAAAAAATGTGAATAAAATTTTCTTTCTCCATATGTATTCAATCTGTATACTGAGTAAGTAATTTGAGAAGTTGAACTCTATGAAGCGAAATGTGTCATCAGGTTTGAAGACTCATCAGCAATCTTAGATATGCAGATGACTCATCCATCCTTGATGAAAGTGAAGAGGAATTGAAGCACTTACTTTAGAAGATCAAAGACCTTCCCTTCAGTAGAGAATATGTCTCAACCTCAAGAAAACAAAAGTCCTCACCACCAGAGGAAGTGCAATCAGGATGCTCTTTAGAGGCAAAGACGATAAAACTTTGACTCATATACTTTGGACATCTTATCAGGAGGTTATCAGTCCTTGGAGAAAGACATCATGCTGGGTAAGGTTAGAAAAAGAGAGGATAACTCTCAACAAGGTGCTCTGACACAATGACTCTAATAATGTAAGAATCATGAGCATAAAAAGAATGCAAGGATAAGGTTCTGATCTATTCTTCATTAGGTCCCTATGAATTGTAGCAGAATCAATGTCTTATAACAGTAGCAACAATAAGTAGAACTCATATTCATGAGTGGAACCAACAGTATAGAAGAAATCTTCCCAGAGGGCAGAACTAAGAACTACAGAGGATTATTCCTAATTTAAAAAAAAAAAGAAAAAAGAAAAAAATCAACAGTCTTATGGATCAACTACCTTTTATCCTCTTTTTCCTCCCTTTTTGAATGGAAATGTTTCCAATTAACTTGTGCCTTTCTCCAGATTGTATTGACACTGTTAGAACACATAATTTACATCTTTTTTTAAATATATATTTTTATTGTATATTAGTTTACATAAAAAATTTGTATACATTGTGCTTTACACTTTGCTCCATTCACATTGTATTTCATAAAGAGGTCTTTTGCAGCACATTTTGCCCAAAACAATACATCCTTGTACCTGTATATATTTATACACAGACATATGTATATATCTATCTTACAAATGTTGTTGTTGTTGCTTTGTGCCGTCGAGTCGTTTGCAACTCATAGCGACCTATGTACAACAGCCCTAAACCCTGCTCTATCCTGTGCCAATCATATTACCTCTGACAAACCCATCCCGATTACCCCACTGAATCAATCCACCTCATAGAGGGTCTTCCCCTCCTGTGCTGTCCCTCCACTCTACCCAGCATGATGTCCCTCTCCAAAGACCTGTCTCTCCTTACAATATGTCCAAAGTATGTCAGACGAAGCCCCAGAATCCTTGCCTCCAAGGAGCAGCCTGGTTTAATTCTCTCTAGGATGAATCTGTTTGTTTTCTTGGCATACAGTATTTATTTATCTTCTCTCAGTCAAACTCTGAGTCAATCATTTTCCCCAGGCTGCCTGGTAAGATACAAGGAAAGGGACATAGAGGTAGATGAGATACAATTGGGGAAACCCCAACAAACCGTGGTAGGTGGAGACTTCTCCTTCAAATGGGGAAGAGGATCAGAAAGACCATCTGCAGACACAAGATGCCAAGGCCTCTGAGGGCAAAGCCCAGAATGGCGTAGGAGAAGGTCTGCTGCTTCCTTTCTAGGATCCATTTCTATTTTCCTTCTTTTCAGTTTTATCAATGACATTTTCCTTTTAATTTTTTAGTATGATGGTGTTGTTTATGTTTTTCCCATTACTTGTTTGCTCATAATTTACATCTTTAGTTTCATAGGTGAATAAATGGAAATTACATTAAAGAATGGATTATTCCCAGAAAAAAGTCTCCACTGCACTTTGGCTTTTCAGCTAATGTGAATATGATGATATGAGGGAGCTCTAGTGGCCTAAGAGGCAAGAAACTGCACTGCAGTTCCAAAGGCATGAAGTTTGAATCCATCAGCTGCTCTGCAGAAGGATGGACTATCTCCTCCCATGTGATTAACTACCTCTAAAAACCTACTGAAGGGTCAGCTATGGGTCCATTTTGACTAGATGATACACAGTAACAAGATAAGGAAACTATATGTTTAGGAAAATTAGAATAGAGTAAATGTGTTTTGCAGTATAGGATTATATTAAAACGTATATTGCTGCTGCAAAGGAGACAGATTGATAATCTTCTTTCATTTAATTTGCAGCCTCTGAAAGCCTGCTGGAGGCCCAGGTATGAGTTGGCACACAACAACAACAACAACAACAGCAGCAGCAGCAGCAGCAGCATATATGTTATAAAACCTGTTTCAGTTCAACATTCACATAAAAAGCCCAATTCACATATATAGTTCAATTTTACACATGTAGCTCAGTGACATTAATCCTGTTCATTGTGTTATTCAATCATTTCTGTTATCTATTTCCAAATTTTCCCATCATCCTTAACAAGAGTTTAGTATTCTTTAACTTTAATATCTCCTTTTCATGTATTGAAAAGATATTTCATTCTACCATTAAATTGCATCAATGCCTTCATTTAAAAGTTTTGACTGTATAATATATGTGTACCTGGTTCTTGACTCTTTATTTTCTTCTCTGAATGAATTTGTTTAATCTTACATCAACATTGCACTGTTTACTTCAGCTTCATATTAACTCAATAACTAGATTAAGTTTGTTTTTAATAGATTTTATTCAGATAACACACATGGCTTCCTTAATCAGAGTGTTCTAAGTTTGGAGAGTTGAGCAGTTCCTTTAAGAGATGTCTTTGTTATTCATAAGGGAAGTTGTATCCAAGAGTGACTCAGGGTATTTGTGAAGAATTTCTTTATGATTGACGTGATCCAGAACACTTGGAGGACTGGCTAAATTGTCTAGGAGACGTGTAGTTTAAAGTATTTTAAAGACTAAAGTAAGTCATGCATGTTCTTATTTTCTCATAATATCTTCTCAAAATTTATTAAGTATAATAACATTGCTAATCTGTATGTAAGGGTCTAAATTTCCTCAAGGGGAATGTAATTTCCTTATGCTAAAATATATTTTCCCCTCAGTTGTGTTATTAATTAAGACTTTCTCTTTTGCTTCCCATTTTCAGATTGTTGTTCCTTACGCTATGGATTATCTTTTTTTATACACTTCTGTAACATTGCAATAGCAGCACAACGTGTATGTCTAAGTCTCACCATGGTGGTCATGGTGAACACCACATATTCACATGAATTACATAATAGCTCCACAAATGAACTCCTGACCAATGTGAAGGTATGTAAAATATATTTCCCAAAATTTCTTAAAATATTATAAAAATGTAAAATAA